GAATTGCTTCTTCTCACCACGATACTCTACCTCGATCTTCGGCATCCCTTGTGAATTTATAACTTTGAAGGGCCAGTGTTTCTTGTCGCCCTGCACTGCCTCGTCGTCGAAAGTGCGTCCAATCAGACGCTTCACGTCGAACACCGTATTGGTAGGGTTCATAGCCATCTGGTTCACTGCAGCTTCACCGAATAAACGCTCTCTATCTGTGTAGGCCACACAACTGGGTGTTGTGCGGTTCCCCTGATCGTTGGCTACGATTTCCACACTGTCGTGCTTGAACACACCGACGCACGAGAAGGACGTTCCTAAATCAATGCCGATGGCGGTACCTTTTGACATAGCTTCGTGGAATGTACAAAAGCTAACTTGTTGTGCCGACTGATGATTACCTCCACGATCTCTGCAAGCTCTTTTACCCATTAAAGGAATCCAGTAGAACCAATCCGCGATGCGCACTACCCATTATAATGCTGTTAGCCAACCAGCAGCTGCCACCATTTCATGCTTCTCCACATTTACTGGTGACTGCGCACTCGAAACACGAGAAGAACAGTTTGTTGATGACATCTTCGAATGGTAGTTTTAGGTGAAAATTGCCAGGTTTTCCATGCTGCCGCGGTGAAGGCTGCAGCCTTTGTACAATTAGAGGTGTCAAATAAGGATATTTCAGCTGTGCTGGAGGTGGTGGTCTGGATTTACCCATGACTGGACACCAGCTCACGGAGATTGCTAAGACACACCAGCCATTATTGCACATTGTGTCTGCCTAAGTGACCACCTCAGTAATTTCAGCAACGGACCTTGTCACCACAATATAGTGTGGCTCAAAACATCATAACCTCCTGACTGCACACAAGCAATCGTTTCAAACCACTTGTGATTTTAGCCATTCAAATTGACGCTTTAAATGCTTTGGCATTCCATGGACGAGGGGAGAATGGGTCACCGAGTGGGGTGGACATCCTTCCCCCATCCATGTCTAATTCCCTATCTACCCACCTGCAAATGAAACAAACAAACAATGGAAGAAAGGCACCAAGAGCATGCCAAATGACCGAGGAGAGTGAGCACCCTGACAGAAGCTGTCAACGTGTAATGAAGTAAGCTGCCACAGGTTGGCAAAGAGAATCCAGTGTGCATTTATTTTATTATTTTACACCTTCAATGCACGCGAGATTAGGACTGCAACACTGAGTGCAGCTTAATTAACGAATTCAGACTGCAGCAACTTACTTAGTCTACTGCACATAAATTGAGCAAATGTACAGAACAAGTG